AATGTCTCAGCACTTCTGTAAAAGTACAAAATTAATTCTGACGCGAAACCAAAGACATGTTGAGAATGACATTGATCTGGCGATGAGAATGTTGGGACGTGACGGGAGGCGACTGTTAACCCCCTCTGGTGGCAGCTATGTAGTGGTGCTAATTCTCCAATCAATACCTTCGACAAGGAAAGGAGACTCCCTGTTACATACACACTGATTCAGGCTTACCTTCAGACTCGCTATAGCTCTAACCCCATTCTATCCCCTCTACCAATCCCCTCCAAGACAACTCACAACCCTGTCATTTAGCCGTCATACATTCTCAAATGTGTTTTTTTCCGAAAGGTTACAGATACAAAACAAGCCTAACTTAGTAGCCTGTGCTAATTTGAAAATGATCTTGTACAGAAATTTCAAGCTACCAGGTACTCTTATCTGAAATAGTGACACTAATATATACCATCAATATTGGAAATTACTGTCCCAAAATAAACAAAGTAACATTTTTCATTTCTTTCAAACATCATTTTATATGAATGTACAGTAAATTCAAAGTACTTTCGATTTTTCCAATCAACCCAAATATTCACAATGCACAACCACAGATCAATAGTAAGCTAAGGAAATCTATATATGAAACTTGAAAAGGATCCATCCAGCACTTCTGTAAAAATATCAAAGACAAACTTAAATTATCAAAATCCAAAATGGCCAAATATCATTCATTTAATATTTTCTGTAAGTCACAAAATTAATCATATACAACTAGGGATTTGTCTACATATGAAATCTGAGAAACTTCCGTCATGAAGTAACTATGTCAAACTTAAATTGTCAAAATCCAAAATGGCTACCTGTTACCCATTTTGCATTTTCTGTTAGTCACCAACTGGAGACCTGTAAGGAAATACGTCTAAATATGGAATCTGAGAAAGATCAATCCAGTCCTTATCCAAAAGTAATGATAAAAATGATAATGTTTAAATCCATTCAAACCTAAATCTTTGCATATACAAATATATACCTATACATTTTATGTGGGAACTGTACACAACAATAAGTAAAACAACCTGTTGTTCCAATCAATCCATAAATAAAGTGTCTCTCAATTTCAACAAAAATTAATCACTAATAAATGTTCCTTGAAAATTCATTGAAATTCAAATGATATGCAGAGAATCCTGGTCTATTCATTGCTACATTTTTTTTGTAAACAAAACATTTTATAGATTACTTTTGAAAAAACAACTCTCCAATCTTATAAATCCAGTTCCAAATGTCCCCATTATTTTGTCTGTACAATGCATTTTTCATTGAATGTCAGTAACAGTTCCGCTATAGAAATTCTCATACGTCACTTTCTGGTTGAAGCAATCGTTCATATCAATATCAAACAGAACCAGGTGATAAAAACACAGATCTATCTCCTACGACCCGACAACATGTCCCGTTATTGGAGTATAACAGCCTAGATATGATGATTCTCAGTACAGAACAGGCCGTTATGAGAGTATCATTACTTTATACAGAATTTGACGGTTATTCCCCCCATGGGTTCTCCTCTGGTACAATACTTCCGTTATGGTCGCTCCCAATGCATCAATACACCAATTTGATAGATGTACGACTGTACTTTATGACATAGAATAGATCTATTGTATTTTACTTACTCTTCAAGGAATGTTACAGCCAAAGACTCACTGTATACAACCAGGCCACATACTGTAAAGTTGATGTTTTACGGCCCCATTTTTTTAAAATTTTATTTTCAGGATGAAAACAAAAGTCGTGAAAAGATGATACCATGAGAGAAAGTAAAATGAAACTATGTCAAGAATTTCGTAAAACCATGAAAGTTTAAACATTACAAAAAACTGTATCCATGAACTTTCATTGTAAATTCAGAATTCCAAGAGGCAGTGGGCTCTGCCTCTCTGCCTTCAGGGAGCCCTGACCCCTATGAACAAAACTGGGTCCCCTATACCAAACCATGTGCTTCATTTGGATCATCATGCTTTTATTTGCACTGAATCTTCATCCAGAGACCATCACTTCTTTCACATACACCTGAAGGTGTCATGTTATAATTTTTCATAATCAAGACAACAAATTCCATTAAATCGTACAACAAAATGAGACAGCAATCAGAAATTATAGCCTGTAGTTGATAAAAAGTTATGTGAACCACCACAAACATTCTATTCTTAAGAAGCTGTCAAAGTAACAAAAAAGTTAACCTTGACCTTTATAGCTGTAAACTTGAGAGTAATACATGAAATTCTTTTTTCCTTAAAACAATGCTTGTTGAATTGTTATGATAAAGCACAGAAAAATTTTGCAATGTTTTTTCTTCGGGCATCTTTGATCTTTTTGGTACAAATGACCTATGCTTGTTATGTTACACACTGTATGGACAACAAAAAAAGAAAATACCGGTGAAAGTTTTTTTAGAAAAGGTTTAGCAATTCAGAAGATACATGGTATGGGTCTAGGTGAAGAATTGGGATGATTTGACCTTTGACCTTTGAGTGTTCCAAATCAAGAGTCAGTTAGAGATCACACTCTCTGGAAGTGACAAAAATATTTTGAAACATAACTGAGAAAAAACTTCAGCTCAAATCAGAAGATATAGATAACTGGCATGATTTGACCTTTGATTTCCAACACTTGCCTGACCATGACCTTTAAGGTACATACACCTAAAATTATCATAGGATGTAATAAACTAGCTAGTTATTACAAACTACATTTATGTACCATGTATGAAGGTTTGAAGGAAGGAAAAATTTCATAACTTTAGATGAAAGTGGTTCTTATGTATAATAGTTTCATTTACACTTTTCTTCCCCATTACTAGTTCCGATCTGTAAATCAACCTCTAAATCAAAACATTTCAGAAAAAATTTCATCAAACCAGAACACACCTATGTATACACAGAACTACTTGATATCATGACCTCTAATACATGTACAGCATTGATAAGCTCTTACGCCATATTATACATATACATAAAGACCCAAATAGTTTAACTACACACAAAACAGGAAGTTGTCTACTTAAACAAAGTGTTCATAACAAATGTATATAATACAAAGTAAGGCCAATCTGCTGATAAATATACATTGTACCTGGTTCTGTAGGTTTTGATTACATTACAATTTCCATGTTGATGAGATGAATATCCTAATTTCCTTAATAATTCATTACTGAAAAGATTACAAAAATTCAAAGTAGGCACATCCTCCTGTCATGGCAAACTAACAAATTACTGTTTTCTAAGAAGAAAATATAGATTCTGAACAGAACTTTCCAACATCATAAAATGACTTCAACAATGATTAAATCATCAATTAGTAGAAAAATGCTTTTCAATTCCAAAAATTTGATAATTACATGAAAATGCTTTCTAATGGTAATTATTATGAATAGTTGACAAGGGAAGCAATCTACTTTACACATAATGTATTATCATTACTTACTATCTGTTGAAACTAAAGGGATTATTTCAATCATTACTGCTGTGTATATGCCTATAATGTGCATTCCCTGAATTTGGTCCTTCAAATGTTTCATGGAATAATAGTTTTAGTCTTTGGCTTAAATATATGATATTCATTATAAAGCTGATACATGTACCTCCTTCTATATAAACATAAGCTATGGATATATTGCATGAAAACAAGCCCTTGTATAATGCAAATTAACTGATGATATCAGTGTGGTTAAATTAATAATCTGGAAAACACTTGAAGCAATAATTTCTATGACTTTTCCAACAAATACTTGGTACATATGCTTTTAATACAAGGATAGGAAAGAGGGGTCAGAATATGAGACAAATTCCACTAACTAAAGAATTCAGTATAGCAATATATATGTCCCACTTTTGATGAATTCCTAAATGAAATACACAGCAGTCTGACATATCATTGACACATTCACTTCATTCAAAACATGCCAATAACATCAACTGGATACAAGTGTTTCTTGTGCCATCATTTCTTTTTCCCAGCTTTAAGAGACTTATGTGTACTTCGTAATACTGCATTGAATGACCAAACTTTTCCCCATCTACAACCTTCAGGATTTTTTTGTAAACATTCTGGTTATACAAAGTACAGTATCACAGAAGTAAAAAAGGGAATGATAAGTATGCCTTGGGAAAGACTTTCTTTTGTTACTGCACCAAATTTATATCAAGGAAAAAATTCCTATGTAGGAATCAAAACCCCTAAATGTTTTGTATACTATATTTGTAAAACAATAAGCCCAAAGGCCAACACACTTATTCTTCCATAAAGTCAAGGATGGGATTAGGAGACAATGGCATCAGACAAAGTTTTTATTTTAACAGTGATACATATGGGTGGGCTTATAAAGTTTTTACCACACATGGACTAATTTAAGTTTATTAACAGATAAATGTTGTATATAGCAACCTACAATGGAAGACAAATTGTGACTGGTAAAGAGCTGTTTTCATCAGAAGACTATTGTATCAAATTCATCGAAATGCAACAGGGTTATTTTTATCTAATAAGAATTTACAGTACATACCCATATAAATACACAATTATCATTACCGACTAATGAATAATGCCTTTAATTAAATTTTGACAATATCAGGGACTTATAATACAGTGTTATACTTTCCTGGTTAATGTACAGCTTTATATATGACATACCATGCTGAGTATAATAAACAATTTTTGTCTGCTGACTTATCAAGACTAGATCTATATTTGTAAATAACACATTCCTATAATATACACCACACAATATTAGCCATTATCCATTTAAATGATTATATCACATATGCAAAGGAAAATACGAATAGAAACGAAATAAAAATTCACAAGAATAAATATCGAATGCAAATTAAATTGCTCAAAATATTATGGACTCTGTCCTAAGGGTAACGTCTAAAGAATCACATGTGTCAAAATACACGTGATGACAATGGGCACTTCTGTCACAACTCAGAGAACTGTCAATGCTTGATTCTCACCTGATTCCGGCAAACGATGTTGCTTGTTTACCTCTTGAAGTCTTGTACACCAATTTCTCAATCACATCTACTTTCCCGTATTTTGCAGCGTCTAAGAGTTCTTGTTCCTTGCCACCGATCAAATTCCTAAGTAGCCCTGCCATGATAATCTATATTAACTGTAAACATCACAGTATCAGTATGATGATGAAGTTACTTCCTCAATAGCAGCGCCATCTCTAATTTACTACCAAAATGTCTAAGAAACAATGTTTCTCACTGGATGTGCTATTAACTTTCCTAACCAATCGACGTTTTGAATGAGCATTTGTTCCAATCGATGCGATTCGTTCATACAATGACACACCTCCAAAATTGACCAATGAAAATATCGCTGTTATATTGAAACGAAATACACATCATGACGTTAACAGTCTAGCTAAAAATAGAAATTTGATGTAAACAAGAGCGTAAGGACGAAGAAGGACAGATTGTGGATATTTATCGAGAAATACACATCGGAGTAATAGAGAAGAAAATGCCTGATACGGAAAAAATGGCGCGACAGGACATCAGAATGACAAAGCCCCTGACGGTGGTAAGATTTACATGCGAATTAATGTTGAATTTGACCGTTATTCAGGAAATTTTGCCTGGTGTTGAAATGTCAGCATGTGACCAGTCAGATGTGGCATAAACAGTGTGTATTCATTCTCAGGCTTTATTTGCATCTGCGTCGTTGTATTATTTTAGTTTTACAATATTGTGAATGAGCTAACATTTTGTATTTCGTTTTTCATTCTATAGGTTGTACGATGATTAAAAATTATTTTCATTTTTTATCAACGGGATGAGTTTATTTTGTTCATGTTCTCTTCCCACTCATTGTTCCATTAAGTACTGTAGTTCTAGGTCATTTTTCATTTATGTTGTTGGCATGTTATTTCCCTCTCCTCGTAAACGGATGAAGGTGGAATATTTCAGCAAACAAACTGTCGTGTTTAATACCAGAGCCCGTTACACATATCGATCCCTGTTTACATAATTTATGACAAAAGAAGTCAACATCTTAAATTGGCATTGCGCCATTGTGACGTTGGTTTTAACATGTGACTACGTCCCAGGCCTTTGTTAGAAATTCTTTTGTGACAGATTTGTACGAGGTGGCAATTTTTCATAACATTAATTGACATTCTGCATTTCTTACTGGTTTTCAAAAATAAAGTATTGCCAATTCATTATGTGTATAATACTGTTAATTACTTTGTATTCAGTTTGTGGGATTTTTTTCAATTTTAATTGTTGATAAATTTCACATCTGCTTTTAGCTCATATCACTCATCTACCTTTAAGCATATTGACTTGTTAAGAAACTTTTTTTAAATACATGAAATAGCAGACATCAGATGTGAAACAATATGCTTCTTAAATGTCAACTAAGAATCCCAGTTTAGGAGAAATGGATTCCTGCTATATTAGAAAGACAATAGCTTTTATTTTACATGTAAAAAGCATTTTACATTTTACAACCTTAACCTTTCTAAACCAGTCCAGTGTTAGAAAGTCTCCTCGTTTGCCATTGCCTGGTGTTCTCACATCAGATATCCCTTTATCAAATGTTAAATTCATATATTGGTGCTCTGGTCAGAGGCAACTTGGGGCTATAGTCAAGTGCATGTTTAGAAGTATAGTCAAGTTGTTATTAATCAGTGAACCATACTTATCAATTGTCTAAAGCTCTTAAAGTGCATGTTGTAATATTAAACATTTATCCTTGATTATTAAGATATTGAATATTTCTGTCAATATCTGAAGATAATGGTTTGTAAAAGAGTGGAACTGTACTTGAATATTAATTAGAGATCAAATCACGGACTTCTGGTTTATTTAATCTTTTATTCATACAATGGTACTCAACCAATTACTATACACATGAACGAACACAGAAAATTCTATACCAGTTACACCACAGTACTCTTGTACTGCTATCCTAGATGATGTAATATTAGCCAATCCTATCAAAAAAGGTCATGGTCACCCAACCATATATACCTGACAGATCTGTTGTCTGTAGATCTGTAGATCTATTGATCTAAACATGTTCTGCCATAAAGTACAGATACACACACATAGTGTATAAAAGGATGGCATATCTACCAATTGTCATGAAAACATTAAATTTTGAAAATGGTTGACCTCAGGGTTGCAGTTGGTGTGATTTATTTAAGGGTTAGTAAGCTATGTTTTTATGCATACACTGGAGATTAGATAATGAATTTTGGTTTTAACATGAGATGAACTGGAGAAAGATTTGTTGGAGCAGAAAAAAAAGTAAAATGGAATATGTCACAAATATTATCATTATTGTAATCTACACTTCACATTTCGATCAAATATTTTAGCATGTCATTATAATAAATTTCTCCAATGTGGAAATGGTACATCTGCTTCAACAAGAAAAATAGCCACCATATTTGGGCTAGTGTCAGAATTCATGAGTATATCGGGGATTAGATCAGGAAAATTATCCAATCGAAAAATGTGTTACATAATCATTATTTTAGAATTTAGTTTGAATCGAGTCATTATCAAGCCACTACAACATATGTAGGGGATGTAAATAGAAGCATTTTTATGGCATTTACAATGTTCATAAATGCCATAACAAGGCAGTTCACTCTTGAGCGAATTACTTATTTTAACTACATATTTGATGTAAAAGTTGTCATCCTGAAAGTTGTACAAGTTTTATTTTAAATCCCTTACCCTATTATTGTATTATTTAGTAATTATCAGAACTCAACAGAAGTCATCAAAATTACAAACAGTGTTACAGATAATGATAAACTGTAAACGCATAGATATAATCAGCAACATTCTGTTGTTTTGTAGCTGAAGAGTATTGGCCCAAAGTTGGTTCCTTTCTTCAAGACAGTGGCCATCTTCTTTGTGCTTTTCGGTCAAGAGGAAAAGGAATACAGCTACTCCAAAGTGTTCTGCTGCATCGCCAAAATCTTACCGATCATCTCACTGATCCTGTTTGTCTTCCTGCATGGTATGAATCTAACTGAGTACTACCGCTACTCACGAAGGATCCTGATTGGCTTAATTTTCTCCTGCCTTGGTGACATATTCCTTGTTTGGAAAGAGACATATTTTGAGGCAGGTATTCTCATGTTTGCTGTAGCTCAGATTTGCTATGCCAGAGCATTTGGTTGGAAGCCGTTCAACCCCTATGCATTAGCTGTGTTTACAGCGGTTGGAGCAGCCACATATTCTATTTTGAGCCCCTCCTTGAATGGAATCCTGACCTATCTTGTTGCGATTTACATAACATTGATTTGCATTATGGGATGGAGAGCCGTTGCAAGGGTGAGATTTTTCGATGATCTGGTCACCTGGACGAAACTCTGCGGATGTGCAGGTTCGATTCTTTTCATGATATCTGATATCACCATTGCAATAAATAAGTTTGTGATGCCATTGCCCTTTCACCACCAAATTATCATGTTGACATACTATGCAGCTCAGTTGGGCATAACGTTATCAGTAGTCGACAGTCAGGTGGATGTTATTTTACAGCCAAACCTAGAATAGGATGGAGCAGAATCACCATACAATGACCAGTCCACATGTTTAAAAGCCAAGACCGATATTAAAGTATCCTCCTCAATATTACCTTTACGTGGTGCTACATTGAGTCCAAGCTCTTGGCTCTGACAAAAAAGATTGACTTATAAAAGTAATATATAAGTATATATCAGTAAGTAAATCATGTTCTTCAGACTGAAAAATTGTGAAAAAATTATGTTTTAATCTTTTTCTCTTTTTTTTTGAACAAGTATATACACCAGTGTAACTAAGAGTTCTATCAGAACATGGCCTATGGATTTAATCTGTGTGAAAATTATGTACGAATGACATAAGTGTTTCAAAGTTCCTGTTGTGTGGGTGTCATATGATCACAAAGTCTAGTCAGTGATGATAAGTTCAATGTCCCCTCCAATACATACACATTATCCTGTATTTATGTTTCTACCAGGGGTAAAGTCCATTTTCAAAAAGAGCTAGTAGACAACAGGGTAAAGTCATGTGCCACTGAAGTTTATCACTGAGTGCTATATTTACACAGATATTAACTAAATATGTTTGTTTGATGTCTGAAAGTCTGCTTTATACTGCATTTTCATAGATTTTTCATTGTTTTCCTAGTAATTGCAACAATAGATTCATATTTGCCCCCATGGTTATGAGGAAAAAAAATGATGTGTAGGAAATTTTAAGTTTTTTTTACGCGTTAATATATGGAGATTGTACATGTATGAATGACTCTTGTCTTTTTCCTGTACACGATCACCTGCTCTATCAAACATGTAATTATGCAGGATCATTTGTGAGTTGTACATCTATTGTATAAAGTTGTATTGAAACAGCTGTTACATATAGACAGTGAAAGTAATTATCACTTCTTACAAACTGACAATGGGTGTTAGACAATGGTAGTACCCTGTAGCTGGTACACAGATGTTTCTGTTGATAACGTAAGGTGTTGATTTCCATAATTTATTAGAAATTAAATATACATACCTAGTATCTGAACAATATTGATCAATGAATTTATCTCAGAAAGTTTTGACTGAAATTTTCTTGAAAAGCGGAAAAGCATGTACATAACACACAAGCTTTAAATTTCCCCATCCCAGTACAGAAAATTTCCTGTATCACCGAGATTGGTGACCTTTTGTTTATTTAGATATAGATACAGTCAACCTATAAATGTTGATAAGTCAACATAGGTCAACACATGATCTGGTTTGATTACTCTGTATATATACACATTATCATTCCCTAGAATTACTGATTACATTAAAAAAATTGTCAGTTTTAATCAGGTGTGTCATGCAAGATTGACAAACATATAAAACCATAGTTTTATTTAAGCTTTTGGTTATTTCAAAATACCAAGATTTGTCATTTTGATTATTTATCATTATTTACCATTTATCAGTGACCTATGTATAAGTCAAACAGACGAAAAAGAAATTCTCAAATGGAAGTGAAATTTGCGTTGTGTATTTGAAAGTTCATTCTTTTTAGGTAGATATAACTTCTACGAATTAACAATTAGTTCTTGCCACTTAACTCAAAGTCTAGTCTTTATGTGTTCAAACATTATAGTGACTTCATCTAGAGCACTCACATTCTGAAATGAGTTGGGAGGTTGTATTTGTATACAACCTTGACACACTCTATATACATATATCTAACCCAAGTTTCACCGATTCAGCATCACTGTAAGAAATTTGATAAACTTCAATTTTTTTCTTTAGAAAGGATTACATAGATGAATGTAAACATCTTAAAAGAAGATTTTTTTATTCAAATCTAATCATGCTTTCTTAGCTAATTATAGATAAGAAAATATAAGAAGCTATGAAACCATTTAATACCGCAAAATGCAATATTTTAGAAAATTTCTTTCGCTGTGAGTTGTCCTAGGTGAACTTTCACAGTCTTCATCTTACCTTACCTGGATGGATCTCTGATCATGAGTTTATCATGCTGTATTTTTTTGTGTAGTTTTTTTTCCACAAGCCTCAAATTAAACATGGTTCATGTATCAGCAATGTTCTGTAGGACAGGTATTTTTAGTACGGATCCTGAATGGATAGTCAGGTAAATTATGAGTTTTATGTAACCTATACCTTCTGACTTTATCACTGTATTGATGGTTCAATTTACACATTTGTTTAACATCTTAAGGAAACATTGACTTAAAGTTTTGAAGGCATTTTTTTTTAATTTGTAGTTGTATACTTGGTATAGATCCTACAATGAACACTTTCATTAGAGTAGAATTTTGATGTAATGCCCTGTTTCATGTTCTACCTCATTTAAATAATTTCCACCAATGATTTAGTTTTTTCTAATTGTGAATCATTTTGTCTCTAAAGTGTTAATCTTACCTTATATGTACATGAACTATATTTTCCTATTTCTGTGTGTTAAGTATGATATTTTAAGCCTGTTCTGGCACAGAATCAAGGTTATCTTTGGTTTGAGAGAGTGTTTTTGTTTGGCTGTCTCATCCTTGGCAATAATTGCCAGATGTTTTAAGCAATTTTTTGGAGAAAAAGTGTCTGTCTATTTTTATTACAATTACACCAGAAAAAGCAGTCAGTTCTATTCAGAAGAAAATAAATGGAGAAAAAAGGACATTGATAACATTGTATAATGGGCATTCTTCTATGAAAAAGTCTTGTACGCTCAGGGAATCTATTTTGAATTGGAAATCAGGATTTTTTTAATGATAACTGATCAAAGCTATCTTGTCTGCAGCAGGTTAATGATGAAAGGGAGTACATAATTTTCAGCTGGCAAATTTTTTATGAATTGAAACTATTTTTTGTTTTTTTTTGTTTTTTGTTTTTTCATAATTGTTATTATCTCGGTATTAACTAGATGAGACTTACTGCATCAGACTATTTGCCCAAGTAAGTATGAACAGCTTTGCCCTATAGACATATATGTATATGCCATCTGCCTACAGGAAGACTTCACGTTTAGACGATGTGATATAGTACAGTAGTACAGGGCAGTCACTTGTCAGTGTATGATCACTGACATTCGCCTGATGATGATTTACAGGAACACAGGTAAATATAAAATTCAATTAGCGACAGTCGTGTATGAACTCCAAACAGATGCGTACAAGGTTTGGTGCATTAAAAACAAACTGATATTTATGGCGTGTACATATTAGATGTATATGTAAGCTTATCAATTCATGACATTGGTCACATGTTCATTATCCTTAAATATAAAATCATGTTTGGTGTGATATAAATATCAAACGTTGATAATGTCATTCCACTCCATGCTATGTGATTTTTACCACCAGATATACCAATGAAATGCTGTTAAACTTAAATTGAATATATATTGCTTCTATTAAAAAAATTCAACTTGACATCCTCAGGTTAAGTTCGGAACAACAAAAACGTGTATACAATTTTATATACGTGTATATATATATATATCAATTATGTATATTATGCCAGCTCAGCAGCATCACATAACTCTACAAGTACCTGTGTGAACCTGTGTGAACCTGTGTGTATAGGCATAATATTCTGTTATTGACAGGATTGCGTTAGAAGCTTCAGCCTCGGGAAAGTCACAACCAAATTCTGTGGTATACCTACTATATTAGAATAGTGGTTTCAAATATACTGTCCGTAAATGGAACCAGATCTAACTGAAATGTAATGAAACTGAAAATGAAGTCGTGACCCAACATATTACATTTCTTTTGATATGTATTACAATTACAGACCTGTATCTACAATCGTAATGTAAAAATTTTCCATCTTGCTAAACAGCACAGATATGCATATACAACACATATTTTATTATTTTGAAACTAAGCAATTTTAAACTAACAAATTAAACTTTCACTTTCTAAGAATTATTCAAATGTCTTCCTTAAAAATTCTCAGATTTTTGTTCCATTAACATATAATTTCAAGATGTTTCTTAAAATGGGCCCCTGGTGTTTCATATTTTACATGGAGCAGCCTTGAGCAGAATCCCTGTTATAACACAACATTGTGTATCGTATTGTGTATGGAGTCAGGTGGGAGTTGATTTTGGCATGAAGATGTGACTGTGTGCTTCTCCAATCTTATTGATCCTTGTTATGTAGCGTTTGGGGAGAAAATGAACACAGTATTTTGGTAGTAATTTGTCGTCAGGCTGTGAATGGGATTTTGATAGGGGAATCAATTTGTCGTTGTTTTATGTATTAATATGGTACTATGCTCTTCATCGGCATTAGTATCCCAAGGAGGAATTCTTTCACTTTTTTTTTTACATAGACTTTCACAGAATTGACATGGTGTGTTTTTTGTCAAAAAAAAAACACACACACACACACACATACAAAATTAATGGCATGTTGATACCATGTCACTAGACAAATTTTGATTGTTGATTTTAGCGTGAGATTATGAGTTAAGCATGAGGTTGTACATATACTAATACAGAAGTGTGTCTGGGTCACTTGGAGGATTTGATATAATGGTCATAAACCCTAAAGACTGGCATTCACACAGATTAATTATAGAATGTAGTATAGATGTATATTGATTCTTACAACAAATGCACAAAGGTAAAAAATTAACATGCTGCATAAGAGCTTAGCGTGTCTTTTTTCTGGGCTAGTTTCTAGTGCAGAAAATAGTGTTCATTATGTAAGGAAAATTGCCTTGCCAGCTTAAATATGCATGCTGGTTGTCTCTATGCTGCAAAATGTAGGATTTTCAGAACAAACACCATTGATACAGAGACAATATTTACAGTTACGATAGATCACCAGACAATGTATGTTGTAGCTTGATTTGTGTCAGTATTGTATGTCCAGGGTTTGAAGACATGGACACTTTCAATACATGGCATTTCTGTTTCCTGTGCATCTACCACATTTTACCTGAAATAAGCCTGGAGCATTTTTTATATTTATAGAAGTTAGGTTGATGTACATTTTATATCTAGGTTTGGCTTGATTCCAAAATCACATAGGAACGAAGAAAAGTAGTGCAGTGTTTATGGATATTACAACAGTGGAAATGTGACAAAGCAAGTTCACCAAACCAAGAACTCTA